AGGTTTCCATGAAAAAAAACCTACAATTTAAATAACATGTGGATCTACTCTTTCTTCTGTACAAAAAGATGTTTATTTCTCAATCTGTGACAACCACGTAGTTTTCAGAAGCATGTAAAACGTTTGAAAGTAAACATTGAAGAACATGTACACAATACTTTTAAATACCTAAAGATAAAATTTGATACATGAAACTGTATTTTATCCTAATGGCAAATCAAATTACCTCAATGCCGATGTCCTCACTATGTATAATTGTCGACAAGAGGTCGCAAAATATTATGCACATTTTTTACAGGTTTATTTAATATAATTACAAATAGGAAAAAATCGTTTTTAGATAGTTTCATGAATTTATTTTGCAAACATTGCTACTTTTAGTTCACATTAAGTAATATATGATTGTTTTTTCAGGCAATGTATCATCCAACCTAATTAAAAAGAACTGCGGACCTCAGTGTGTAACGGTAGAAATATATAGCAAAGGTAACAATCTAAAACGTCAAAATGAACTTTAACTCTATCTCGAGGTCAGAGATCAAACACTTTAAATCAAAATACTCAATGTCTCTCATATATTTGGCTAAGATGGTTCTTAAAGCTATAAATATATTGACTAGATTACTATATTAAAAATGACACATACAAAGATTTGAAAACGGACTACTGTTGTGTTGTTGGTTGCAATAACAGACTATCTGATATACCGCCTGACTTTGTACCTTTAATTGTCACGATGAAGTGCCTGGATTCGCGCTGAGATCATTTACTCAGCGGGTAGATTAGATAAATCAGCGGGGTTCACTTCATATCCATAGTATTAGGGCATTAATTAGGAAGTCAATTAATACCTTAGCCATGTGGAATCCTCGTTTTACCTTGTACAATATCACCAGATGACAATTGATAAAAACGTACCGTTTTCTACATACAGTTATTGAACAGTGGACGACCGTTTGATATTCTGACGGAAGCTGGAAAGAATTTATTCAACTTTTGTATACAATTATTTCTTTCAATTTGTTTCTTACAATTTACAGGAAAGTGTCCAATTTCATGTTATATGCCATATATGCTGTAGCAGGATACAACGCATAGTGACCCCTTTTTGTCTTTTGATATTCTGAAAGTATTTCATAAGAGCTAGCTTCTCACATTTTATTTTAAAATACTATTTTTCAGTTTACCTTCAAATATTTATACAATGATGCCTTTTCTCTGTATAATCCATACACGATGTTTCCTATTTTCACAGACGTGATATGTGAAAACAAACTCGGCGACCTATCATTGTGTTTTTTTTATATATTTTTTACATATTACAATATGCATGTATACTACATCTTTGGCAAAGGATGTACAGAAAAATTCTATCTATGTGTGTTTATACTTCCATACTGTACCATTTATGATGGAAACTTTATAGTTTTTTAGTGGTTTATTTAGTACCAACATTCTTAACTGCTGGTAACTCGTTCATGTACCCATAAAATTTCAAGCAACAGTCACAATAGCAGTAACTGGCTTTTTTTTAAAAGAAGATTAAAAATTTGAGTCAATGTTACTTAACCTAATTGTAGGCCGTAACGCTTAACATGTTGCAAGAATATGTAAACAAATGTTTGGGAATAATTGAGAATTGTTTACGGTAACTCACACCGAGCGAATTGATATTGGAACGGAACTGATATTTAATGTATTTCTGGTGTTTCTGTTGTTTCCTTTTTACCAAAATGTTTTTCTCTTTTCACGAAACATTATACTGACATACCGTATTGTAACACAGTGAGCAAAAGACAGCAACTGCAAGATATACATTTTTTTAAAACCATTTCATTCATAAATACAACTGTTATCAACTCTTTACGTCAACAAGAAGACTTATTTTTTCGTTTGAATTGTTTTGTGTCGGTACCTTTTATAGCTTACTATTCGGTATGGATTTTCTCATTGTCGAAGGCCGTATGGTGACTACTGGTTGCTTTCATCTGTCATTTGGTCTCTGCTGGATTGTTGTCTCCTTTGCAATCTTCTTATTCTACATTTATGTTATTGTCTGTATAAACGGTCATACTATTTAGTTTGAATATATGATAAAATAAACGATTTTTAACATCTTGGACCAATATATTAATTTATTTGTCCCACTCATAATCGGTAACATTTGTTAATGTACAATAGTTAAATTTCAGCAATTGCCAATGACAACTTCTCAAATAGCTACACTCGCCGTGACAAACATACTGTGATCTGATATCATCTGTTTAGCTGCCTCCAGCATACGCCACTAGAGAGAGATGAGTATTATCGGTTCATTTATTGTTGTGTTGCTAAATATGAGGGTCAATCGGATAGCCCCCTGTCACGTATGATATCGTTAATTATCGCGAGATTTAATAGGATTTTGAGATCATCGTATGTGAAACTGGTCTATTACTACTTTCAAATTTCGTCATTTATTTGTGTTCCTGTTTCTCAATCAAAGTATAAATTTAATATTTCTACTATTCGTTATTCATTGTTTAGAGTACATTCGTCCTCAGCAAATATAACCCATCAATATCTTAATAAGGAGGTTAACCTGTTTATACTAAAAATATGATCGAATCTTTGTGAGTTAAAAGTAGCGGTAAATGTTCCCACCACTCCAATTGAATGGGTGTAGAAAAAAAGAATAACAAAAATAACGAAAACCAAATGCAAGATAAAATGAAAAAAAAATGGTAGTTCATACCTTGATTTAAATCTAGTTAAACCCACCCTTATATAACAGTTTTTTTGTTCATAGCTCCGTAATAATAAAAAAAATTGGGCGAGCAACATAAAACAGACAGGTAAATGTGACAATAATTCGAATCAAGCAGCTAAAAAAGTAGGGGAAATCAGGATATATTTTTTTTCGGAAAATATTACGATTTTTGGAGTCTAAATTTCAGATTAACTACTATTATACTGTATTATATAATAATGCTTTATATGGTACAGTCAATCCTTTTAATCTAAAAAAAAAATGTGACTTATATACCAAAATGTGTAGCAAACTTTAGTAGGACTTTGCTTGTTTCAAATGATCCAATACAATATTTATTTTTTTTCTATTATACTCAAAATACCGGAAGTCATGAGTAATCACGATGTCTCAATAATATGTTTGGATAATGTTCCAAATATGTTGAAACAAGTTCGATAGTCTTCTTTTGAAACCTTGCCGCTCTGATTTTTCTTCCTCGATGATCACTAAAGAGTCCAAACAGTACCTTATACATCTTCCAGCTTTGAGATAAATCTTGGATATTCGCATCATTTATTTTTTAGATGTATATTATATTTAAGAAATAACTTATATAGGCTTGAATTTATACTGATTTTACTACGGATTAACCATTTATTCTAAGTATCTTACCACGAGCGGTAGCCCCCTATCGATGTCCATTTAATATATTAACTCCTGGCAGCCGTCTTCTTAGATTGCAGCAAATACATTTATGTTGTAATGTTATTGAACATACAGGAACGGGAACTTCTTAGGAAGAAAGATAAGAAGTTAGCAATATCCTTTAACTCTACGTTCCGCTATATAGATGATGTTCTCTCACTAAATAATACAAAATTTGGTGACTATGTTGAACGAATCTATCCCATCGAACTAGAGATAAAGGATACTACAGATACAGTAAAGTCTGCCTCATATCTTGACTTACATCTTGAAATTGACAATGAGGGTCGGTTGAAAACAAAACTTTACGACAAAAGAGATGATTTCAGCTTCCCAATTGTGAACTTTCCATTTCTATGTAGCAACATTCCAGCAGCGCCTGCATACGGAGTATATATCTCCCAATTGATACGATATTCCCGGGCTTGTGTTTCCTATCATGATTTCCTTGATAGAGGATTGCTGCTCACAAGGAAGCTATTAAGCCAAGAGTTCCAAATGGTGAAGTTGAAATCATCCCTTCGTAAATTTTACGGACGCCATCACGAGTTGGTTGACCGTTATGGAATAACCGTTTCACAGATGATATCGGATATGTTCCTTATGTCGTAACTACAATACCCTTGCCTTTTCACAAATGTGCCTCACCGAATTAGACTATTTACCGGATTTGTAATAGCATAAGCAACACGACGGGTGCCACATGTGGAGCAGGATTTGCTTACCCTCCCGGAGCACCTGAGATCACCCCCAGTTTTTGATGGGGTTCGTGTTGCTTAGTCTTTAGTTTTTCTATGTTGTGCCATCTGTACTATTATTTGTCTGTTTGTTTTTTTTATTTTTGGCCATGGCGTTGTCAGTTTGTTTTCGATCTTTGAGTTTGACTGTCCCTCTGGTATCTTTCGTCCCTCTTTTATTGAATATATTAGAATTTTTGAAAGATGCCGTATTTTCAGATAGTAAGACATAAAACCTGATACTTCTTCATCTAACTAGAGTTTTGTTTTGTTTAAGGTTTAAGTTGTATGTGTCCATTTTACTTCCATTTGGTTTTCATTCTTTAATGTTTAAGCATGTCATGTCTTTGTAAAGCTTATTATACATGTTATACGATATTGAGTTTGTTCCTATTCTAAGACCTCCGTGACCAAATGTTGTGTTTGTGCCCGTCCTTATGACTCCTGTGCATAGGTTTTACATTGACAATCATAACATATCTCCTATGTTTATATGTATCATTTCAAACTGTTAATGCGAACTGAATAGTTTTCTTCTTATTAACCTTCTTTTTTATTTGTTTTGTTTTGTTTTTATTTTGTTTATATTACATATTTTTCAACAAGATTTCTCAAGATGAAATGCCCATAGTTGCTTGGGGTTTAGTACGTTTGCTATTTTTTCCTTACCTAGAGAGTAAATTACAACTGTGCATATATGTAAGAACAAATACTCTAAAACAATGAATACTTATCTCAGTATACCTGAATTTTATTTAATACTCATTTGATATTTTAGGCGTAAGTATTTAATGACAGTCTTCCTGATTCGTGTACCTGGTATGCGCTTAACCCTTCTTGGATCGTACGCATTTCTTGTAGGAACAGTTATATCCCTTACAGCAGTCATTACTCCGTTTACAATTTCTTTCTTGACATGACTTGCAGTTTCCATAAATGCAGCTAGAATCATCACAGCAATCACGGGTATTTTTGCATTTTCTTGGATTACATGACTTGCAGATAAGGTCAACGCAGCTTGAACCAGGACAACATCTAAAATCCCAGCAATTAGATCCTTCATTCACACACCATGATGGTAGTCCTGGTGGTAATGGTAAACCTCTCTTCACAAGTCTAAAAGAAGACATGTATTAGGATGTCTATAAGATAAAAGATACATTATCATAAATGTTTTTTTCTGAGAGCGATTTACATATGTATATTCTGTGACAAGTATAAGTTTAGGTAAGAAACAAAATTGCAAATACAAATAGTCATTTTAGGTGTTCACCTAGTAAACAAATCTTTGAGACTTTACTGGTAAAAGGCATCGATACGTATAGATTATCAGGCTGTCTCCATATTATTATTGTTAAATATCAGCTGCGAGTCACAATTTGACACATATAGGTAAACAATTTCATAACTTCAGTTTCAGTGCTTTTTTGTTTTTGTTTTTTGTGCTTTTTATTAAACCTGAACGGATATCTGTCTTATAATATGATATATATTTGCTTTGTTAACTTTTGCATAATGGCTAATTTCATTGAAGAATACAAGATATTGATTGGGTTATCCTATACATGATATTCTCTAATCATTGTGGCCAGTTATCGATTTTTCTCACGAAGAAATATTTCCCGTGTCGAACTGCAAAGTGTGTGATTCGAAAATTGTTACAAAAGATGCGTTAATCTGATTGGCCTATCCAGCATCAGTAGTCGATAGTATGACATTTCTATTGGCCATTTGTTACGTCCTTGTTGAATTTCAACGGTTTATGTTTTCGCAGACTTTAGTCATATGCGGCCCGTTCAAAACCAATATCTTTGAGTGCCATAGATGATGCCCATAGGTCAACGGAATTTTGAACAATACTTTATAATGATGAATTGTGGGATTTTGAAGGAGACAGGCATCAACTCTAAACCAACTCCGTAGTTTCGGGTTTTGAAACCAGAATATGAAGACGAACCACAATTCAATATCAACCAGTGTGAATCAATAAGTATGCTCGATATACACTCGTCGTTTATAGGTTATTCTTATTTCAAGTATTTACTGTTTTGTAAAGAGTTAATAAAAGGATTTGAGTGACAAATAAACATGTTCGCCAAAGAAAAAAGTGTTTATAACGAAAAATGGAAAACTTTTGTTCTCTATAGCCGTTTACTTTAAATGAAGAATTTCTTGGAGTTTTGTTGTTTTGTTTCCGGTAAACCGAACCACATGATAGTTTAGTGCGTGTAAATATTAAATTCTTTATGTTCAGATATTTGAAAAAAATGAGATATAAACATTTATTGACAAAATTTGATGAGTAACCAAAAACAGACCAATAGGTAGATGTAGCAATAATTTGAATCCAGCAGCCAAAATATTGGACACGAATAAAGTATTATCGGTATTCGGGAAAAAGTTCAATTTCTGGAGGCCATAATTCAGATTTAATGCTATTATACCACATGTTATATATAATGTTATAATAATGTATTATATGATACAATAATCAATCTTGTTAATCTTAAATAAAAGGTGACAATATACCAATAGGTGTAGTAGACCTTAGTAGGACATGCTTGATCCATAATATTAAGTGATGCAACACAATATCTCTTTTGCTTTAATGTACTAAAAGTACTATATTTTGTTTTTGATTAATATTTTATTTCTAAAAGGTTTTGGCATTTCACGTCCTTGTATCATTTGAATAGCTTATGCTCCAGCATGGAGTTTGCTCATATACACTTGAAGACCATGTGGTTATAAACTGTTGTTTAGTCCCGGTTCTTGAGACTCCTGTCAATAATTTTACATAGACAATTATAACACGTCTCCAATTTTTATTTGTATCATTGAACAATTTTGATGCAAACTGAATGGGTTTCCTCTACTTTCCCTATTTTTCTATTTGTTTTGTTTATGTTTTTAATAAATATCTTTTCATCAAGCTTACTCAAGACAGTCCAATTTATATATATATTATAAATATGGAATGCAGAATAGTCTTATGGCAACTGTATTCATATCAGAATTAAAAATATACCTATTCATCCATGAAAGTAGAGATTAATTTCTAAAAACCCTTTGATTTGCCTTAAAGATTTTTTTTTTATTTTTGTCTTTGTTAAGTCTTGTCAACGACTGATAATCTAAATATTGCCTTTGTGATTAGAACTTGTGTTGCCCTTCCTTACTTAGACAATACAACCAAACTGTACATATATAATACCAAAAATGCCTTGCAAGAATAAATTACCGTCATTATCATCTAACCTGAATTTTATTTTATACATATTAAGCGAAAGTTTTTATAGCAGTCTGTCGCTTTAAGCTTCCTGATTCTTGCACTTATATGTGCTTAATCCGTTCTTACGCATTTCTTGTAGGAACATGTATATCCTTTACAGCTGCAGTCGTTTATCTTTTACTACAAGTTCTTCCTTGACATGACTTGCAGTTTCCGTAAATGCAGCTTGAATCATTACAACTGTCACGGGTCGTTTTGCATTTTCTTGGGTTACATGACCTGCAGTTTCCGTATACGCAGCTAGATTCGTCACAGCAGTCACGAGTACTTTTGCATTTCCTTGGGTTACATGCCTTGCATGATCCGTAAACGTGAACTAGACAACATTTACGATACCGGCAACTTTCTTCATCATTCACACATGGTGGTGCAGGTTTACTTCTTTTCACAAGACTGAAAGATATGAGATAAAAGATATAGTTACATAAACTTTGTTTTCAGAGTGATTTAACTCTGTTTAATTCAGAATGGAAAATATGAATGTGTCAAAGAGACAACAACCCGACAAAGGAGCCGAAAGGCCACTTATGGGTCTTCAACACAGCGAGAAAATTCCGCAACCGGAGTCGGGCTTCACCTGGCCCTTAAACAAAAATGTGTACTAATTCAGTGAAAAAAAAACGTCAAACTAAACTCCAAAACAATTAAATGAACTAAACTTAAACATAATACAAGACTAAAAAAATGCCACAGTCTCCTGACTTGGGACAGGCGCAAAAATGCGGCGGGGTTAAACATGTTTAGTGAGATCTCAACCCTCCCCCTATACCTCTAGCAAATGTAGAAAAAACAAACACACAGCATTACGTATTGTACATTGTTTGACTAGTATAATGTTAGGTATACAAACATATATTATCAGTAATCTATTATGTTCGTTAATACGTACAATAATATTAGTGATTTTAGATGTATTTCTAGTTAGAATTTCATTACGATACCTTTTATTCTAATGTCAAGGGATGGTGTCTTGTTGAAAACTGTTATATGGTGATTAAATAAATTTTCCGAGTTTCACACCTATATTTAATGGAACAATTTGACTAAATATACACATATATTAATAAATAAATTGTTATTATAAAAGGCTGCGTTTTTTTCTCTCATTCCAATAAATGAGGACAGATCTTATTTCACATATTATACATTATACACATTATATTTGTCTGTGAGGTCATAGACAATAACACATGTTACAAGTGTTCATTGTTTACGGAAGAAAATAAGTGATTTATTGCATCATTTGCATTATTAAGACTGTTTTAACAAATACCAAATATTTGTGTTTGTTTGAATCAATTTTTCACCTTAGTCATTTAAAGGGAGTTAATTCCATAAGATTTTTTTAAAGGAATGTTAATGCAATTTCCGTTTTCTACTTGTAGCAAGAACACATGTGTGGTGACATTATTTTGTATTTTAATTTTCTCGAATTATACCAACCTATCTTCTCATATTGTATGTCGAAATTATGTAGTAGAGAATTGATAAGAAGTAGTGGATTCGTAAACGATAATCAACGAGCGACTTTAGTCGCAAGTTGATTATCGTTTCCGAATCCACTACTTCTTATCAATTCTCTAGCTTAACCCATTTCTAGTAAAACGACTGTCTGTTTTACGTTTTGACAATGAATCAACAATATTTCATAAAAAAAGTTTGGTATTTTGTCTTTTTTATTCTATAATAGCTGGAAATGAATATATCCACACGGTTCGCATCTATATTTAGACATTTGACAAGTTAACATAAGTTTAATATAACTTAAAGGGGGTGTTAGCTCCCCTTTTTAATACCAGATGTTATTTTTGTATATACATATTTCATTTAATCTTTAATCATTACAAATTATTTAAATTAAATAGATTTTGGTATATTTAATTTATTCAAAAAGACATATATTGATATACAGAATTTATTTATCTTGTTTTGAAAAGTTAAAAAATTTTAATTACCAAAATTTAGAATCTTCAAAATTTATATACATAATATTTAGCAACGTGACTTGTTATAATGAAATCGCAACACCATTATGTCGTTCCTAGTCAATTAAATATTATTAGCGTATATGCCATAAATCTGCCATTTCATAATTCATATTGCTGTTTAAAGTATTAAAATTATGTGCTTACGATTTAAATTGAACAATTATATTTAAATTTTGTTTAAACTGTTTCCGTTTCATTTAAGTTAAGATTATTTTAGCGTTATTACATTTGGTAATATCGTTCACCGGTCAGTAAAATAGTTTTTTCTGTGGTACGCATTCTGAATCCACATCAGAATTGCTCTTGCTACGGATGTACAATGAATAATTATGTTGATGTCATAAACTTACCATCAAGATGTTCATAGCCGTGATCGTCTAGTCGTTGATAACGAATGTCATAACGGTGATATTAACAGTGCAAAGTTCGAACCTTGTACGCGGAATGAATTTTTTTCATTGTAATTTTTTTTTCTGGACCAAAATATTGTTTTAATCCTAGAACATGTAGAAGTATCATATATTTCATTTTCATATAATGGCAATGATTTTGTTCTGTTTTTATTGTCAAAGAAGTAGTTTTAACCCGTTTCTTAAAAAAAAAAATAACACCCAAAATAAAACAAATTCAATAAACATGAACAAACCAAGATATATATATTTCATTAGATTACAAAAGCGAATTATCAATGAGACAGAAATACAGTTAAATGACATGTATTGACAAGTAAGCGCTTTAAGAGTACTATTTATATATTGAATGATGTCAGCCATCGTGGTCTAGTGGTATCATGCTTAGACTGAAGACTGTATTGAAACGAAGAAAATACGCACGGGTTCGAATCCTACACATGCCACTCGTTTTTGAGAGGATAAAAGATCGTAAGTTAAAAGGTTAAAGTTATAATATAAGTTCTCTTAAGTTAATACTATGGTCAGTGGATTCTTGAAAAATAATCTACAGCCAGAACAATAGACTGACGTCAGAGAAATGGGTTAAGTTATTACTAGACTCTTTTGAACTCAGACTCGTTTAAACTGGTAACAATCGAACAATACAGTTCGAACATTTTACTACCAACTTAACTTACTTGTGGATCAGTTCTTCTTCCTCCATCATTTCGTCATTTGCCATGTTCACTGGAAGTAAATTATAAAATTTCAGTATAGTGATTATTATCTTGTTAAACACATAGAAAATCGTAAAAACGAACAGACACTCCTCTGTTATGCCACTAATGCTAATAAAAAGTTAATTGAGGATATTATTCTAAATTGGCAATGACCACTGTCATTTAGGCAGCCTATCATGTTGTTGCATTTAGCTGTTTTATAAGCGTTTAGCAAGCATCTTCTTATCTTCAATAATCATATTTTATTGCAAATAATAATTTGAATAGCACACATTACTGGTTGGATATTTCAGAAGCTGAAAAGGCTGTATAACAAGCGAAGTGAAATATTGGATTCTAGTTTTGGTCTAGAAGTTTAAAAGTTTAATATGATTGTAACAGCGGTCTTCTCATAGCTCATGTAATAATACCATGAACTACAACATGTATTATACAAGGTTGTTTTTGCCTATAAAAACAAAACCTCATTCATAGTCTTTTTGTCACAAACGAAACTAATTCTAACTCAAATCGCTTGGTGTTAACGATATAAAACAGGAGCCTCAAAAAGTTACCACTTCATTGTTGATACAAGGTTTACAAACACCTTCCTTTTGTAATATTTGAGCATGACCATGACAAATGTCCAATTTTATAAAATGCTAGGGATACTGGAAATATATAACGGTTGGTTTGTAAATTAGGCAGCAAGAAACCTAAGCACGCTAGAAAATAAGTAAAATCACTCGATACTTATTTTCTACCCTGTCATTTTCAATTATAATAAAAAAAAAAAAAAAATCGTCAAGGTAAAAACAAATGAAAACTTCATTCACAAACAAATAAATAGCATTTTAATCATGTATTGCATGTTCGCAACTGACAGTGCATTTGACAATTAAAACATCATATAATGTCATTTCCATGCAAACAATGTTTCCCGAAAATATTCAAGCGTGCTTAGGTTCTTACTGCCTAATTTACAAACCAACCGTTTTAGTCGGTATTTGATTCACCAAAGTAAAACCAAATCCTTACAAAAATAATTTGACATTTTCCCTGCTCAAGTACATTTAAACTATCCTCACGAAAGTTAGATCTATGAGTTGTTCGCACCAATCTATCTTAACAAAGACACGTTCTGTATGAATCTGACATATTTATTAGCTTTTGAAGCATATTTTCTGTTGCGTTCATTATACCCTAATATTAAACCGAGACACCCATATAAGCCATAGAAATAGAAAAAATACAAGGTGTAAATTATTCAGTTTAACATCCATGGCAAATAATACAACTGAATTACAATTATGTTTTTTTTTTTTTCTAGATAAGGGGGTTTACCTCAACTTATCAATTTACACATCGCAATATATCATTGTCCCAATCATCTTTTTTCTTTGTTTGCTGGAATCTTAATTTTTATTTTAGCAGTATGATAAATAGTCGTGAAAGGAAGTGCAACGGCACTACAGGATGCTTTAAAAAACTATATTTCACAGAAGTGTCATTAGCGTCAAAATCAGGTATAAAAGCTTGAAAAAAGTAAATAGTCAGACGTCTACAACATAGTAATAGTTACATTTACTCATGTAAGTACAACTTCAGTCATTATAGGTAAACAAATTACAGGAATATTTTGTAGGTTCAAAGTGATAACACTAGTAAATCAATTTTATTATAATGAAACATGCATTTGATCTGAACAGCTGTGCAATAGTATATTTGACATGTTCAGTTTTTCAGTTATTTTCAATCTACTTCATTGCGGTAAATTCAGTACTGTTCAGACATTTTGTTTACAGTGGATGAATCTGATATTTGACTGAAAAGCAGAAACATTCTGAATAATTTGTTGTTCAGAATTTTTAGATCATGTTAAGATCAATGTAACCGTTTGAGAACAAATTTCAATTACAATTGCTAGAAAGCATGTTAATTCAAACATTCGTGTTGCTTAGTCTTTAGTTTTTTATGTTGTGTCATCTGTACTATTATTTGTCTGGTTTTTTTTTTTAATTTTTGGCCATGGCGTTGTCAGTTTGTTTTCGATCTATGAGTTTGACTGTCCCTCTGGTATCTTTCGTCCCTCTTTTATACCTAAGACATGATTTTTAGTTGCACGTAAAATGTTCTTTGTGACTACCATTCATCCATATGTTAACAGTGAAATGGGTTATTGAACATATCAAAATATAGTTATGCATGTTGTTAAGAGTCAACGATTTTGTCGTTTGTTATTATGGATTACTGGAAGCCCGTGCCTAAACGAATATCGGATTCATGTTTGGCTAAATACCTATATAACACTTTCTAATGCGTTCGAAACGCTCTTCTTAGTTAAATTTTGATATGAATATCAAAATCAAAGAACATTAAGAACACTTATCACTGCTAATGTAACAATTGCTAATTAAGTTTATAAATTTTGGATATACCACTGCAGCTGTCTGATTTGTAGGGACCCAAATTCAGTATTGTAGTAAAAAATATATGCAGAAAAAAGAAAATGAAGAACAAGGAAAGATCTAAACCAAATACACAAATCAAGTTTATTCGTCTTCATTGAAATGTAGTTTTATAGTATTGATAACTTAATCTAATTTTAAATCCAGGCACTCACTATATAGTTTTTTTCTGTGAATTTATTTCAACTGGAAAGATAAGCATGGCATATACCAAATACTGGATTAAATGAGAACATTCTTTTTCGTTTTTAAATTTGCTTCTTTAGTACCTGTCAACTTACTCTACATTCTTTTTGATTGACAGATGCAGCTTTACACAGCATGTTTTGCATGCCAGTAGAGGTGTACAAAAACAATATAAAATAAAAGTCAAATGACCATAACCAAAGCAGACAGCTTACTTTAAATTGTAATTTTTTTTTCAAATACTGAAACATCTGTTTCTTTATAACGAATTATTATCATGAAAGATGAATAAATGAGAACTACTTTTATTTTTGTAGTGTCTTGCAGAGGAGAAAAACAAGAAGAATGAAGGTTTATATTTGTTTAGTTGCCAGTTTGTTGTTAGTGTTTGTTGGAGGTAAACTAATTAGCAAAATCTGTATTTATTGATTTGCTAAATTTAGTGTTTTTCTTCTTTACATTGAAATTATAAAACTTTGATACAAAGCTGTAACTCATTATATGCGTATGATTCTTGAAATAATTGTTTAACATACGAAAAAATCACCTGTCTTGTGAATAGGACAGAACATTTTTTTCAATTCATTATAAAATACTTTATAATATTCGTGTTTTGTTTGTTTTGGCAAATGTTCCTCTTTGAGTTTTTCTATATATTTGTTTTTTTACAACTTTCGAAGATTTATGATGATTTAGAGCTTTTACAATTGTATATACACTTGTATATTGTTGACGTCTGCGCATGTTCATCAATCTCTTTTTTTTTTTGCGTTTCTGTCATTGAGTAACTGACCCATTAAAGCATATTTAACACATAATTTATTTCAAATATGATATTTTATCTTTATCTAAAAGGGATAGTAACTGCCCTTCCTGAGCAACAAATCCGAACTTTTTATTTTTTTTTATTTTTTATAATACACATAACTCACTTTATTATCATAACCGTTATAAGAGTACACAACTAGAACACAATATTTCACTTTGCTTGACAAAACGGCCTTCCATGTTCTGAAATATCTAACAATCAAGGTGTGCTATATAAACTTTTATTTCTTATTATTTAATTTAGGAAATAACACAAGATGATAGTTACACTCAAATTAAACAGCTAAATCATTTTGTTTGTAAAAACAACATAATGGGCTACCTCATATTTGTGGTCGTTAGTTCTCTCGTTTAGATTATCATTTCGGGTTTTTTTATTGCTGACAATGTGGTATAGGTTTCACTATGTATTGAAGGTTGTACGGGGACACATAGTTGTAAATTTCTGTGTTATTTGGTTTTTACTGGGAGTTGTCTCATTGGTAATCGTACCATATCTTCTTATTTTTATACATTAATTACTGTTGTGCAATGTTAGTTGCCGATTTGGTTTTCCTCATAAAGAAAACATTCTATTATATCTATTAGTTACCATAACATAAAGTGTATGTAAGCTTTAACGATTTTCTGATAGAAGTCTTAAAGACGACCATAATCAAGAAACTGAAATATACAAATTATTTCCAGTGAACATGGCTAATGACGAAATAATGGAGGATGATGAGCTGACCCACAAGTAAGTAAGAAGTAAAATCTATGAACTCTATTGCTTAGTGTGACCAATTTTAATGAGTTTGAAAGCGAAAGAGTCCAGTTGAAACAGAATTTTAAAATAGATATAAGGCAATAGATTTTATGATATAATTTAAGAAAATTCAAATTAAAGATGTGTCAAAGAACTTGTGGTCCTTCTACAAGTAGAAAAGGGAAAAAAAACTATTAACATTCTCTTATGTTAGAATTATTTTCCCTTAAAGAACTTAGTTGAACAATTGCTTCAAACACAAACAAATATTCGGTATCTGATAAACCAGTTTTATTATTTCATATGATGCAATAAATCACTAAAATTATAAAAAAAAGACTGTTCCAGTCTTTACTCATTGTTGAAAGCCATAGATTGACCTATAACTGTTAGTCTTTACATCATTTAGCATGTTTAGTCTCTGGTGAAAAGTTGTCTTTTTGACAATCCTACACCATTTTTGTATAATTATATTTATTCATTCATTGCCAATATGTCTTTAAATTTGCAGATTTAAGCAAAGAACTAGATCGATTGTGTACTGATATTTTACAATCCAAGATTTACATTTGATGTTTAATAACGATAAATAACAGAGACAGTACAAGTTATGATATACATATTTGCGAAATTTTTCTACTCGCGAAAGTCGCGAAAAAAATAAATCGTTTATGAAAATTATTTGGTTTAGAGTATTTTTTGTTTATCAAATATACTGTCTAACTTTTGTGTTCTTTCAGCATTGTGAAAAGAAGTAAACCCGGCCCACCACCATGTGTGGATGATGGAAAGAGTT